CCAGCCTCCCCAATCAGTGGTATTGTCCTGCACCTTAGCATGCACTTCCCATGAATTATCCTGATCTGCTGGCTTTGCAGCCGCTCCACCTCCACTACTCTAGCCTCCCCAATCAGTGGAATATTTTGTGAGTTTTCATTTCCATTTAGGTGCAAATCAAATTGGCTTGTGACCTGAGATGAAAGGTACTAAGCAGTCCCCACTATGCGCCCTCATGCTGCCAACGTCGCCCAGTGCCCACTCCGCCGTGCTGTGGTGCCGCCACTAGCTAGAGGTGGTGGGAGCCCTTCTGCTTTGGTGCCTGGTTCCTCCTCTCCTCAGTCCTTCGTTGACGAGCACCAACGAGGTATTGTTTTCTAGTTTCTTTAGTTCTTTACTCTGATTTGGCAAATAGATGCATGTCAGTGCAGGTGAGCGCATACTGTGATGACTGATACTGACCCAGTGTGGCTTGCAGCGTCAAATCAAATTCCATCTACATCGAAGGGTAAGCTTGATTTCTTTTTCCATGTGCTGTGGTTAGTTGCTCACTTGAATAAATATATGATATACTGTGTTTCAATTTTAAGACGATGGATAATGATATGTATTGAGTGGAATCTGGATTAACCAAATAGCCTTACTATTTCCATTGAATTTATCACCATGATTTTATTTGACTGTTCTTACAGGTAGAGATGGAGTGCAAGGTGAAGCAGTTTACAATTGGTTGAACAAGAAAAAATAGTTTGGTTTCTTTTTCGATATCCATATTTGTGAATTCAATTTAGTATTCATGTTGAACATGTAGATGACCAGATATCGTATCTGTATATATGATATATGTGCTGATAGATCGGACTGATTCTATTTTTGACATAAGTGTTGACTCCATTCATGATGAACTACTGATTTGTGTATTATTTGAATGAAACCTTGTTGGTCATGCACAAAAATTACTATATGCAAAATATATATTTTAATATGCTATTGCTACTGTTTTAAAATAATTCTTTTATGTGTTTAACTCTTTTTTCCTGTGAGGCTGGCTACACAGAAATATTATTTTTAATCTGGGAGAAATAATTTTTTCTATGAGTTCACCTAGACCGACAGAAAAAAAAAACATGTGTTTTTCTGTGTGGATTAACACACAGAAAAATTAGTTTTAATCTAGGCGAACACAATTTTTCTGTGCGTGTTAGACCCACAGAAAAATTGTTTCTGACAGTGAACCCACAGAAAAAATTGATTTTTCTGTCATTTTATTTTCTGTGTTATTTTCTGACGGTACACCGTCAGAAAAATATTTTTCCGTGGGTATTCGAATTTTTCCGTGGGTTTTTGCACACACAGAAATATTCGAGTTTCCAGTAGTGTTAGCACCACCACCACCACCACTTCTACTACCTTATATAGATGGTAAAAAAAGATATGCCTAGATGTAGTGCAATTAAAAGGCCCTAATAAATGCTTATATACTGCAAGTTACATAGTCTAGTTTTCTCACTTGATCAAGATTTTTATTTTTGCCATGTTTTGGCATTGCCCTGATCTTTGGATATGACCAAAGTTTGACTTGGCCACATTTCTTATAACATGATCCTGTGATGGGCTTTGGCTATATGCCATATAACGTGTTTTTGTTATGTAAAAGTGCATCTAGTCCTTATATGGATTTTGTGGGATGGAATAATGCAAAGAGATTAAATGACTAACTTGTTTGTTAAAATGTTAATCAGGTGATTAGTCATATAATCTTTTTTAGACCCCCTATGAAATCGACCCCCACACATCTCCTTTTTCGAAAATGAACGGTATAGGAGGTTGCACAATCAAGAGAAAAAAAATTCATCAAGGTCATTCCCATGGAGCAACCATAGACACATGTCCTGGATTCATGACACATGTCTATGTGCATGAATTTAGCACATGTGGTTCTTGGTCAAATATGGAAGGAATAACTGGAAAGAAAAACAATTATACTCTTCCATGTGTTGGATGCATGTGCTTGGACACGTGTCGCGAATCCATAGTAATTAAGTGCCCACAATTGCTCCATGGGATCGTCCCCATTGATTTTTTCCCAATCAAGTCCCCATGCCTCCTCATTTTTTTCTCATTTTTTAGAAGCTTACAAGTGGGAAATCTGGTGCAAAATCTCATTTTTCGGAGGCTTACAAGTAGGATTTTGGTGGATTGAATAATGCAAGGAGATTAAATGACTAACTCCTGTTTGTTAAAATGTTGAACAGGTGATTAGTCTTGCAATCTCTTTTAGATCACCCTCTATGGAATTGAGCCCCCACACGTCATTTTTCTGAAGTGAGTGGTATAACCTAGGAGGTAGCACAATCAAGCCCCAAGCCTCCTCATTTTTTTGTCTCATTTTTGGAATGGTCAACTTCAGTTCAACTTTTTCAATAAAAAGTCAGTTTCTGAAATTAAACTAAGGTTCCTTTTACAATTCTTGAAAATCTACCAAGATTGTAGCATTAGTTACGAAGGTTTTTGGGGTATCCATTTCTTTTTGGTATACTTAGTTGTCAGCTAGCACACCTATTTCGTGTTGGAGATTTTAAATTATAATTGGTTGTACTTCTTGGGCTCCATTCGGATCCATCAAACTAACTATTAGTTGTACTGGTTAGAATAACGAGCTATAAATAGCTAACTATTAGTTTGGTGGTAGGTAAAACATTAGTTGACTTATTAGCTGAGAATCCATATAAAATCTCACCTACTTTTTAGCAGCTAATTGCTGGTTGTATGAGATTCGAACATGCCCTTAACACTACTACTACCTTCTACAAATGGTTAAAAAAAGATATGCCTAGATGTAGTGCAATTAAAAGGTCCTAGTAAATGCTTATATACTGCAAGCTACATAGTGTAGTTTTCTCGCTTGATCAACATTTTTATTTTTGCCAAGTTTGGGCATTGGCCCTCTTTGGATATGACCAAACTTTGACTTGGCCACTGCAGTCACAAACAAGCATATACCCTCGCTGTTTCCTTATAACATGATCCTATGATCGCCTTTGGCTATATGCCATATAACATGTTTTTGTTATGGTAAAAGCGTATCTAGTCCTTATATGAATTTTGGTGGATGGAATGATGCAAAGAGATTAAATGACTGACTTGTTTGTTAAAATGTTGAGCAGGTGATTAGTCATATAATATCTTTTAGACCCCATATGGAACCAGCCCCAATGCACACCTCCTTCGGAAGTGAAAAGTAAAACCTAGGAGGTAGCACCATCAAGAGAAAAAAAATTAGTGGGGGCAGTCCCCATGAAGCAATCATTGTTCATAGACACCAGTTGTGGATTCATGACACAGGTACATATACATGCATTTAACGCATGGGGTTCTTGATCAATTTTTGGAGAAATAATTGGAAAGAAAAACAATTACTCTTTGGATACATGTGCTTGGACACGTGTCGCAAATCCATGGTAAGTGCCCACAATTGCTCCATGCATGGATCGTCCTCATTGATTTTTCCCCAATATCCCCATGTCTCCTCATTTTTTATCTCAATTTTCACAAGCTTACAAGTGGGGCCATATAAAAATCTGGTGCAAAATGTCATTTCTCGGAGGCTTACAAGTAGGATTTTGGTAGTGTCGCGGGTTCGGAACCGTGGCAAGCATCGAGTTTGTTTGTCGGACATCGATATGTGGGTCTTTGGTGGCTCGGACACTCAAAACACGCAAGGGACAATCGATTTATCCTGGTTCTGGCCTCAGAGCCCTATATCCAGTACTATGGTGTTTTTCGTGTTAGGAATGCCCATTCGCAGGTTTACAACAGAGGAATTGAGAGAGTTTGACAGGGGATTGCACGGTGCTATCATCCTAGGGTTCTTGGTTTCTACCTCGGGCTAATCATTCTCTAGATCAACAGTCCCAAGTGTCTATGGTTTCGATCTCTTCTTAAAGGGGCCCATGCCTCCCTTTATATACCGAGGAGGGCATGGGGCGTAAAAATCGAGTCGGATATAACCTAGGGCTTCTCTACCTGGTGCTTGCGGTTCCTTCGTCTTGGCGCCGTCTGGTACTCCTTTGTCGTGTCGGAGGGGGCCGACAACGTCGCAACCACTCCCTGACACTCCTGTGCAGTTTGGTGCTTGACCGTCAGGTGTTGTCTACCGTTGTGCGGCCTCCTCCGGGTGAGCCTTCTCGAGGCTTCCTTGGTGCACAATGAGCCTCCCCCGCCCAAAGGGGCTGACGAGTTGGCTCGGAGCCCTCTGCCCCTAGGGCTTGAGGAGTCCCTTGTGCTGATGTGTCACGCTTGTTACATCCCTACCGAGGGAGTGGCCTACAGTTCCTCGTGACTGTGGAATGGGGAGACAGTGCAGCGCCTCTGCGTCTGTCAGGCTCTAGGCGCCTGACAGATTCCTGAGCCTGCTTTTGGTCTTGGCTCCGGACGTTGGTAATTCTGAACATATCCGTGTGTTCGAATAATTCTGAACTAATTTTTTTTTTTTGCGAGGAAAATCTGAACTAATTCTGTATCAGTAATTCAGTATGTCCCAAAACTGCCAGGCCTATGCAATTTGTAGCTAGGTAGCACAGAATACAGGTACTTTCTTTGGCTACATTTTCCCTCTTGCTTCATCCAGCAATTGTCTATCCACCGACCACCGTATGTAGCTATGACTGCACTGCGCACTGGTATAACAATAATAACAATACAGTCTTGAATGACTCGCTACTAGGCAGGCGCTTCCAGCCTGATGTAGTCGTACATGACCCCCAAGAAGGGCCCGAACGCCCTCGTCTGCGCGATGTCGATCCTGTTCTCGCCTTCCCTCAGCAGGCCGCCCCTCACCCGGAACTCGAAGCTCCGCGGCATGCCGTGCCGCGCGATCGCGTTGCCACCGCCCAAATCTGGCGTCGTAAACACGCCGCCGCCGCCGCCACCGCCGCCGTTCACTTGCACCTGCAATTCACAATTATTCGAACGCATGGATGCATAATTCAGAATTGTTGTTAATTTGTACTACTAGGTACCTGTAGCCGGGACAGCTGTGCAGCTGCGACGGCGATGCGCAGCGTGTAGTTGCCGTCGGCGGCGACACGGCCCAGGTCGAACCGTATCTGCCGCGTCGTGGGCACGTAGCGATTGCCAACCTTTCTGCATGCATGCATGCGAAACCAATCCAAGATGTAGCACTGACAGAGTTCTTCAGTACGTATGTATATCAGTAATTCAGTACAGATATATACCTTGTGACATGCGCAAAGAACCAGTCCTTGGAGTGATGGCTGTGCCCAACCGTGAACACAGGATCACTCCTAGGGTACACCTCGGCGCACCTCTCCCACAGACCGTACTGCCTGTACCTGTCTTTGCCCAGGAAGAGCTTGTTATTGGCGTATCTGGGACCGGCGTCGGGGACGAAGAACTCCGCGGCGGTCCGGTCAGGCACGCCGATCTCCCACAGCGTGGCGCCGGACCTCGGGGGCACGAACACGAGGTCGCCGAGGTGGACCGCCCGTCCTGCCGTCACGGTCAGCGTGGACGTGTGCACGTAGACCCCCGGAACCCACGCGTAGAGGCTGTACACCCCGGCCCGGACGCCACCGATGCTGAACGCGCCGGAGGACGCCGCCGTCGTCCAGAACTGGTAGCCCTTGCACTCCGGCCGTCACCCAGGACCCGGGCTGCCCGCCGGGCGCGGCGAGCCCGACGTAGGCCGCCGCGGCCGGCGCCACGTCGCGGCTGCCGCCAACGACGAACCTGTCTCTGACCACGAGCGTGTTAGAATAATTGGGCTGGGCCAATTATTTAATTAATCAAATAAATCCCAAGGCCCATTAGTGGTGGTAGTTACAAATAAAATAAAACCAACTTGGAAGTTGAAAGAGTCTCTAATCAACTTATAGGGTGGAGCTGTGCTGCACCTGTTGAGAAGTTGAGAGATGGATAGCAGGATGCCACATGCCCGCACTCACTTGCGCGGTGACGTCATGTGTGGGCTGGGCGTCAGGTTTTGCAGTTTTTTTTAGTGACCAGTAACTGACGATACAAATGACCAGTAACTGACGATTGCTAATGGCTAGCAGTTACCAAAAACTGACCATTTGATTGGTGCATTAACCTGGGCATCCAAGGGTCATCTGGTGCTATAAGAGAGGTGCTATCTCTCATTCTTTCGCGTGCGAAAACACTTACCACCAGAGCTTTTGTCCACTGCTGCGCTGCGTTTTTGACATGTCCGTTCCGGCGATCTGTGTGCACGGACTTCGCCGGAAGAGCAGGCCTCCAAAGCTGCGCTCTTCACCAGAGACTCTGCACCCGAGGAGTAGAAGGGCGATCAAGTTTTTGGGGAGCTCGTCTGTGCGACTGCTCACTGTTCGTCTACGACTACTTCCCAGTGACGCATCTGCACTGCCTCAGCTCTACACTGCGTCAACTCTCGAACGGCTACATCGAACAGGCTCGACTATCAGTCGGGTAACGGCATATTCGGTTCCTCCGGAACTGGACCCGCCTCAGGGTATTTTCTAATGAACTTTCTTGTTCATTGCGTATTTTCTGTTATTTCCATCACATGCTTTATGTTGGTCGCTACAAACAGAAATGTTTTTGTTTCTGTTCATGCTATTGTTTATGTCATGTTTTATTCTATATTTCGGATTAAACTGAACCGTAAAATGCCTCTGATTCCTTCAATCCAAAAACTTGATAGGGCTTTTTCGGTAGTTGGCTTTGCTGCACAATTGAAACCGAATGTATATGATGGAACGAATTACAAGAGATGGGTTGGCAGACTCGAGTTGTGGCTCACGGCTATGAACGTGTGGTTCATTACCCAGGAGCGTCCTGTGGGACCGCACACCTCAGCGGAGGATAGTGTGTACATGTCTGCTGACAATTTGTTCAAAGGGGCTGTGATCAGTGTTCTTGCTGAGAACTTGATCGATTCATACATGCAGCTTCCCTCTGGCAAAGCAGTGTGGGATGCACTCCAGGCAAATTTTGGGGTATCCGATGCAGGGAGCGAGTTGTACATCATGGAGCAGTTCTATGACTACAAGATGGTCGATGATCGTTCTGTAGTTGAATAGGCTCATGAGTTACACGCTCTTGCAAAGGATCTTGTGAATGTCAAGTGTGAGCTGCTAGATAAATTTGTGGCCGGTGGAATCATTGCCAAATTGCCTCCTTCATGGATGAACTGTGCTACTACTCTGAAACACAAGAGATACGAATTCACTGTAGCCGGTCTTATCGGCACTCTTGATGTTGAAGAAAAGGCGAGAGCAAAGGATTCACGTGCGCGTGGTAATGAGGGAGGTTCTAGCGCTCATGTGGTGCAGAAAAGGAATTTCCAATCCCACAAGAATAAGGGCAAAGCGAAAGTTGAACACAAGCCTACTCAGACTACCAACTTTAAGAAAAAGAAAAACAACAAGGAAAAGTGCTTTGTGTGTGGTGGTTCTGACCATTGGGCCAAGGACTACAAGGATCGCAAGGACAAGCAGTAGCACGGGTAGAAGAAGTCTGCTAATGTTGTTATTAGCGATGCTGAGAAGGGAACATCAGGGTATGGTAACCATGCTTTTGTTCTTTCAATTTGTCATTTACCAAATTGGTGGATTGACACCGGAGCTAATATACATGTGTGTGCTGATATTTCTTTGTTTTCTTCTTACCAGGTCACAGGGACTGGATCCATGTTGATGGGGAACGGCTCAGGTGCTGCTGTTCGTGGTGTTGGTACGGTCGATCTGAAGTTTACTTCGGGAAAGATCGTGCGGCTGAAGAACGTGCAACATGTCCCCTCAATAAATAAAAATCTTGTTAGCGGATCCCTTCTTTGTAAGGATGGTTTTAAGTTGGTGTTTGAATCGAACAAGTGTGTTATTTCTAAGTTTGGCTCCTTTGTTGGTAAAGGATATGACTGTGATGGTTTGATCCGTTTATCATTATCAGACTCTTGTAATAAAGTTGTGAATCACGTGTGTAATGATGATGAGTCAAATGTTTGGCATTCACAACTTTGTCATGTTAATTTTAGCTGTATGTTGCGGCTAGCTAATTTAAGTTTAATTTCGAAATTCACTTTGGTCAAAAATTCTAAGTGTCAAGTGTGTGTGCAATCTAAGCAACCCCGCAAGCCTCACAAGGCTGCTGAGGCGAGAAATTTGTCACCATTAGAATTAATTCATTCGGACTTGAGCGAAATGAACGGTGTGTTGACTAAAGGTGGAAAGAGATATTTCATGACTTTGATATATGATTCTACTAGATACTGCTATGTGTATTTGCTTAAATCAAAAGATGAGGCATTTATTTTTTTCAAGATCTATAAGGCCGAAGTTGAAAATTAACTTGAGAGGAAGATAAAACGCATTCGATCGGATCGAGGTGGAGAGTATTTTTCAAATGAATTCAATTTGTTTTGTGAGGAACATGGCATTATTCATGAAAGGACACCACCTTATTCTCCTGAGTCAAATGGAGTGGCTGAAAGAAAGAACCGTACTCTAACTGAGATGGTTAACGCCATGTTAGAAACAGCTGGACTTTCTTGGGAATGGTGGGGTGAAGCCATGTTGACTGCTTGTCATACTCTTAACAGAGTTCCTATGAAAAACAAAGAGAAAACACCATTCGAGGAGTGGGAAAATAAAAGATTAACACTCTCATACTTGCGTACTTGGGGTTGCTTAATGTACCAATTGCTAAGAAGCGCAAGCTCGGACCGAAAACAGTTGATTGTGTCTTTCTAGGCTATGCTTTTCATAGTATCGGATATAGATTCTTGATAATTAAATCTGGAGTACCGAACATGCATGTTGGTACAATCATGGAGTCCAGAGATGCCACATTCTTTGAGAACATTTTTCCTATGAAAGAAACATCTAGCAACTCTAGTCATGAATCTGTTAATTCTCCAGAACGTAATGATACAGTAGTACACTTTGAACAACCACTTGAAGAGAATCATGAGAAGGATGACAATGAAGGGACTCGAAAGAGTAAAAGACGAAGGACTACAAAGTCGTTTGGTGATGACTTCATTGTGTACCTTGTAGATGACACTCCAAAAACCATTGCTGAGGCTTATGGTTCTCCTGATGCTGACTATTGGAAGGAAGCAATTAGAAGTGAGATGGATTCCATAAGGTCTAATGGGACTTGGGAGATTGTTGATCGTCCGTACGGGTGCAAACCTGAAGGATGCAAGTGGGTGTTTAAGAAAAACCTTAGGCCTGATGGTATAATTGAAAAGTACAAGGCGAGGCTTGTGGCCAAGGGTTACACCCAGAAAGAAGGCGAAGATTACTTTGATACTTACTCACCAGTTGCCAGATTGACCACGATTCGAGTACTACTATCCTTGGCTGCCTCACAAGGTCTTCTCGTCCATCAGATGGATGTTAAGATAGCTTTCCTTAATGGAGAGTTGGATGAGGAAATTTATATGGATCAGCCTGATGGTTAGTAGAAGGTCATGAAGGAAAGGTGTGCAAGTTGTTAAAATCTTTGTATGGCCTAAAACAAGCTCCTAAGCAATGGCATGAGAAATTTGACAAGACTCTCACGTCAGCCGGCTTTGTTGTGAACGAAGCCGACAAGTGCGTGTACTACCGTTTTGGTGGGGGAGAAGGAGTGATCTTGTGTTTGTATGTTGATGACATATTGATCTTTGGTACTAATCTCAATGTGATTGAGGAGGTTAAGAGATTTTTGTCTCAAAGCTTTGAGATGAAAGATATGGGAGTGGTTGATGTGATTTTGAACATAAAGCTACTGAGAGAAGGCAATGGTGGGGTTACACTTCTGCAATCCCATTATGTGGAGAAGATCTTGAGTCGCTTTGGTTATAGTGACTGCAAGCCAGCTCCCACGCCTTACGATTCCAGTGTGATATTGCGGAAAAACCGTAGAATCGTAAGGGATCAATTGAGATATTCTCAAATCATTGGCTCACTGATGTATCTAGATAGCGCTATGAGGCCTGACATTCATTTGCTGTGAGCAAACTCAGTAGATTTGTCTCAAATCCTAGAGATGATCACTGGCATGCTCTTGAGAGAGTAATGCGCTATTTAATAAGCACAACGAATTATGGAATTCACTATGCTGGGTATCCGAGGGTACTGGAAGGGTATAGTGACTCAAACTGGATATCAGATGCTGATGAGATAAAAGACACAAGTGGATATGTGTTCACATTTGGAGGTGGCCCTGTTTCTTGGTAGTCTTGCAAGCACACTATCTTAACGAGGTCAATAATGGAAGTAGAACTCACAGCACTAGATACCGTCACAGTTGAGGCTGAATGGCTTCGTGATCTCTTGTCGGATTTGTCGGTAGTTGAGAAACCTATACCGGCTATTCTAATGAACTGTGACAATCAAACAGTGATTGCCAAGGTGAACAGTTCCAAGGATAATACGAAGTCATCAAGACATGTGAAGAGGCGGCTGAAGTCTGTCAGAAAAATGAGAAACTCCGGAGTGATAGCATTGGACTATGTCCAAACAGCTAAAAATCTGGCAGATCAATTCACTAAAGGTCTTTCACGAAATGTGATAGACGAGGCATCAAGGGAGATGGGAATGAGACCCACATGAGAGTTAAGTCATTGTGGTAACCTACTTTATTTGATCGGAGATCCCGTGAACTAGAGTGGTGAAACAAGCTATTTGATTAACTGAGAAGGAGAGTACTATTGTAATAACCCACTCCGTTGGAGATGCAATCTCTCCTAAATCTACATGGCAGGTTGGTAAACACCTTAATGTGATCCGAGTGGCTTAGGCAAATGTGTTAACCTGCAGAAACATCTTTTGAGGAACACACCTATATGAGTTTGACTGCTAGTCACAGTCTATGAGATTGGGTAATCTCTAAAGACTCATGAAAGGACAAAAAGTATGACTTATATGCTTCAACCAGAGGAAATGCATTTTGCAGCCTAGTATCGGTAAAGGACTTAAGTGAAACTTGTTCGCA